TCACTCTTGTCGCCCAGGCTGGAATGCAATGGTGTGGTATCGGCTCACTGCAACCTCCACCTCCTGGGTTCAAGCAATGCTCCTGCCTCAGACTCTCGAGTAGCTGTGATTATAGGCATGCACCACCAGCACGCCCGGCTAATTTTTGTATTTTTATAGTAGAGACTGGGTTTCACCATGTTGGCCAGGCTGCTCTCGAACTCCTGACTTCAGGTGATCTGCCCATCTCGGCCTCCCAAAGTGCTGGGATTACAGGCATGAGCCACCTTGCCTGGCCTAATGCTAGTTTTGTTATGGTTTTATAAGAATATAAATGAACTAAATTATCTAATAAATCCACTATCATATTTCCATATAAGATTATAGTGTTTTCCTACCTTTTTAGTCATAAAACGCTAATTCAAAACCATTAAAACTCTGAGTACTTAATTCACCAGAGATCCCTTTTGTCATTCAGCAATTGTAAGAAAGTATATGCTCATTACATAATATATTTTTTCAGTAACTGTAATGAGATTAGAATGAAATACTTGACAATAACATAATACTTATAATAGCAGGTGTGGACACAGTAAAGAATTATCTAAAGCTAATCTTTCCGTATTTCTTCAGCTGCAATGTACGCTTAACCAACTGGGAATATTGAGTGCTTCAAATTGAGGCTAATAGACTAGCTTCAGCAGCTGCCAAACAATAGCTTTCCTTCTCTGGCTGTAAGTTGTCAAGACTGGCAGAGAAAGATCAGTTGCCCTAAACAGAGAAATTCAAAATGACCACACAGCCTACAATTTACCATATGCTTTCCACATAGTTTTCTATTCCTACAAGTTCCTTTTCTCAAACATAGCATGGTGAATTTCACCTGAGACCTTCTGTCGCAACCAATGAAGTTTTTATTATATTTTCAATGTTTGGATAACCTCATTTAAACATCTGCAAACATCTTGGGGAAAGATGGGGAACAGGTAACACTCTCAGAGATTGTCCTGACCGCTTTAGCTTTGTCATAGGTCAAAAGTTGAGGCCACAGAGGTTCAATGTCCCAGGAGGGTAGGAGGGTAGGGGGTGTAGAAAGAATCTGAAGTAGAACAGAAGACCTACCAAAAATTCCAGAGGACAATTGAGTATTAAGGCTCAAAAATATTCCTAATAAATCAGAATTTTAAGCTCTGTAACTCAAATTTCTCAAAGGTAAATGCAACTCATTACAAACAGTATTTGAAAGTGAATCTACAGCATACAAAATTTATCTCCATCAACTAAGTTTGATGATCTGAATTTTGCCACCACCACCTTTGTAGAACAGGAGAAAAAAACATATGGGGGATCTTATATATCCCTTAGATTTTTCATTAATCATGACATCTACATCCAACTAGGGACATGGTTGAAGATTCTGCCAAATATGTCACCTTTTAATCAGATTTTTAAAAGCTTATAAAAGACCAGTTTAACTGTATGATAAAATTTCTCTTACTTCAGTAGCAAGTAAATGTTTAAGTAACTCCACAGAATATGCTTCTCCTTGATTCACAACTATATTTTGGGTTATATTTTTAAAAACTCTACTCTTGAAGGTTTTGAAAGTCTACTCTCACAGTCGCTATCTTTTATTAGTTTAATAGCAAGAACTTTACTTCAAAGATACAAAATTATCTTCAACCAGAAGTCATCTAAAAATTTAATATTTAGCCATGTTAAATCAAGTTTTGTTCCCTGTGAATCTCTTAAGTTGTGGATTACTGGCATATAGAGGGGGGAAAAAAGGTAAAATTTAAAAAGAAATACAGATATAGATGAAAATTTTTATTTTGAAGATTGCCATGATTTAGATATTAACCTGATCTACTCAAGTAAAACTAAGCCATCTAGTGGCAACAATATGAACTGGAAAATATCAGAAAATCTCAACTATTAAGTTTGACAAATTTTTGATAACTTCAGGTTATTAGTAGAATAAACCAAGTTCTGAATAATATGACTTAAAATTTTTCTGGCTGGATAGAAAAAGGGAAATTTGTACAAGACCTATAATATTAAAACTGTCTCTCTAAAATCTAAAAATTTTAAATTATATATTTAATAAAACAAGCAGCATTTAGGGATACATTTTTAAAAATGTACAGTTTGTTTACACCAATATAGAAAACTTACATTTATGTACAGAATATATTTAAGAGAGATTTGGAAGACTTACTATATTGATTTCATTAACAATTTTCTGTAATTTTATGATATATCATTAGGTATTTAGAGGCTATACTCGATTTTGGAGTCAAAATTTTAGAATGCTTAGAACGATCACGGCCCTACAGATCAACACTTGTCCTTGGCCAAAGAAGCAATCTCCTACTCTATTTCAAAAAAAGTACAGTCTACTTTCCACTAACCCAAATTATGACTACTCCTAAAGAGGCTGGACAGAAGACAATGGGGATAATTATACATGCAGAAAAAAACAAACAAATATAGAACTAAAATGACAAAGCTATGAAAAATGCTCCTGGTTGTGCATATTTTCACTTAAAAGTGTTAAAACCTACTTCACTGTGACACTTTAAATACAGATCACTGAAGATTCTGTGTCAGAGCAGAACAATCATATTATTTAATTTTGAAAATAACAAATCAACACACCTTTGGTGATCGAGGGTCTGGAGAACGAGCAAAGAGTTCATCTTCAGGCAACTGAACACTTGAGGAAACTGATTCACATGGACGTGTACCATTGTAGATATGGAATTTGCAATGAGGATTTAAGGCCATGGCAAGAAGTTCTAAAAGTGGAAACCAGTCCTGGGACAACTTGGCCACACATAGCTCCACCAGACGATGAGTATTATTAATAATACACCTCTGTTATATAAGGGGGAAAGGTGATTTACAAGATCAAAGCACTGCAATTTCAAACAGAAATATCTTCCAATATTAATCGTATCGTAACTAATAAAATTATCTCTTCACTTTCTATACGAATCATTTCATTAATATTGTGATTAAACTGATTATCAAAAAATTAGAATTTGTTTGTTTCATAATTTATATGGTACTTTCAAAAGCCATTTGCTATGGCTTAAAAAATACAGGAGGCACCATATGTTATCTATTCCCACTCTCCGTCCACAGATAAGATGCAAATTATTTTTTTCTCTCTGGAATTTGTACACGAGAAGCAGCAATTCTAAAATCTAAACAATATGTCAGGCCGGACCCAGTGGCTCACGCCTGTTAATCCCAACACTTTGGGAGGCTAAGGTGAGTGGATCACTTGATGCCAGGAGTTGAGATCAGCCTGGCCAACAGGGTGAAATCCCGTCTCTACTAAAAATACAAACATTAGCCATGCATGCTGGCACACGCCTGTGGTCCCAGCTACTCGGGAGGATGAGGCAGGATAACAGCTTGAATTCAAGAGGCAGAGGTTCCAAGAAAGCCAAGGTGGCACCACTGCACTCCAGCCTGGGCAACAGAGCAAAACTCTGTCTCAAAAAATAAAAATAAACAAACAATATGTCAATCATCCAAGATAAATTTGCTAGCTAAATGTCAAATGCAAAAGTCTGGCCCCAATTCCAAAGTTTCCATTTCTACACCTATAAAATTACATGTTAAATCAGAAGATGTGGACTGTTTATGCTATGGTATATTTGGGAAATAGATTATAGACCATGAAAATATTATCTGCTTGACAACTTATGACCATTTCCATAGTATACAAAAGAATAGAGGCCAGGCATACTGGCTCACACCTGTAATCCCAGCACCTTGGGAGGCTGAGGCAGGCGGATCACTTGAGAACAGGAGTTTGAGACCAACCTGGCCAACATGGTGAAACCCCATCTCTCCTAAGAATATAAAAATTAGCCAGGCATGGTGGTGCACACCTGTAGTCCCAGCTACTCAGGAGGCTGCGGCAGGAGAACCGCTTCAACCTGGGAGGCGGAGGTTGCAGTGAGCTGAGATCGCACCACTTCACTCCAGCGTGGGAGACAGAGCAAGACTCTGTCTTGGGGAAAACAAAACAAAACAAAACAGCAACAGAGACTTAGAGTAATTATGGCATTTTATCAGTCTGAGACATACACTTTTTTCACTGTTTAAGATCTCTGGAATCTGACTCTATCAATATTAATATGATGTATAATGAATCATACATTACTGTTTTCTTAAATGGAAGTTATTTGCAGAGAGGATTTATGTTTGCTTCTGCTAGTCACTTGGGGGCACTACCCACCTGAGACCAGTTTACATTTTCCCCTTAAGGATTTTCTGTATCACAACTGTAATTTGAATTCAGACTGCAAAACTGTTTAAATACTGCTTGTGGTTTAGATTTTCACTTTTTAATTTTTATCCCTCCCTCCACCAAGTGCCAAGGTTAAGATATGCAGGGGTTTTTGCTGTCCCTTTCTGCATGGTAAGTTCATTTCTCATTTACCTCTACACTGACCTTTTGGTGTCCCAGATATGTGTAAAATGTCCCATCTTGGGTGTTTTTCTTAATAGTCCATAAAACAGTGACGTTATCTTACAACTGACAGCATTATATTTTTAATGAAATGTGATGACTTGCCTAAGGTCACAGACACTTGAGATCCCAGGGGATAGATAGATTAAACCCAAGTTTAACTCTAAATCTCATGCTTATTCTAAATGACCACATTGCCTTCAGGAGAATTTATGAACATTTTTAAGTTTTTCACTTTTAGACCTTTTTTTTTTCTTTTTTTTGGAGAAGAAGTCTCGCTCCCATCACGCAGGCTAGAGTGCAGTGGTGCGGTCTCAGCTCACTGCAACCTCCACTTACCGGGTTCAAGTGATTCTCCTTCCTCAGCCTCCCAAGTAGCTGGGATTACAGGTGTGTGCCAGCACGCCTGGCTTTTTTTGTATTTTTAGTAGAGACGGGGTTTCACCATGTTGATCAGGCTGGTCTGGGACTCCTGACCTCAGGTGATCCACTCACCTCAGCCTCCCAAAGGGCTAGGATTACAGGCGTGAGCCACCGCCCCTGGCCCAGTTTTAAGACCTTTTAATTCAATTATAACAGACCAAATATAACACAGCCATACACACATACACCCCTCCCCACTCACAGGCAACACTATGTAAATCTGATTCTTTAAAGTCAAATGCAAGACTCACATGAATTTCAAACTTCCAGCCACTCACTGCTTCATCTGTAAGGATTTTAGTGAATGATATTGTTAGCCCATCTCGGAAAAATCGCTGACATGCTTCACTTTTAACATCAAGCCCTAAGAAAAATGGAGAAAAATTAATGCAAACAAAGTATTTCTCTGATTTTTACAATGTCCAATATACAATAAAAGGTAATAAATAACTGGAAATTTCAATGACAGCTAATAAATATTTAATTGTATAAAAGTTGATTAACCAAGTAATATTAACACTAATTGAAAATGTTACCAATTATGGCACTTGTCTTAAACACAAAATGGTGATCAGCAGCACCACATTAGAGGGAAATTTAAGTAACATTTTGCTCCCTGAAAATAAGCCTTTGAACTTAAAAACATTTCACAACTAATTTTCCAAAATCTCATTTTGTTTATAAATCATTCATTTAGCATCAATATCCTTATACTCTAAGTGTTTGATGAAATAAAATGAATTACGTCGTCTTCTTTATTAGTTTCTTTCATTGTCTCAGTGTCATTGCTTTACTTAATTTCACCTAATTTTAGAAAGGCAACAGAGCCACGTGCTTACAAACAAAGAAAATCTAACTCTTAATGACAAAATGAAAAACATTCAATTTGTATAGAAAGTATTATTTGACTTTGATAGTACAAAAGAGATAGTAATTTACACTTTTAAAAATTTGGAACTTGTCAACATTGTGATCTCAGAAAGAAAATATGGTGGAGGGAGGAATACACATCTACTGAATGTCAATGCTATTAAATGAAATACCATTAATCAGTGTTTACCCATCATTTTAGTCAGGACTTAGAACATGCTTAGCATGGAAGTCATCAAAAATTTGCTCATATGCCCAAAATAAAGGAAATCAGTATATTGAAGCAGTATCTTCATTACTATGTTTGATGCAGCACTATCCACAATAGCCAAGATTTTGAACCAACCTAAGTGTCAAAGGACAAATGGATAAAGGAAATGTGGTACATACACACAATGGAGTATTATTTAGCCATTAAAAAAAATGAGATCCTGTCATTTGCAACACCATGGATGGAACAAAAGGTCACCATGTTAAGTGAAATAAGCCAAGCACAGAAAGGCACACATCACATGTTCTCACTCATTTGCAGGATCTAAAAATCAAACAACTGAACTCATGGACAAAGAGAATAGAAGGGTGGTTAATGGGTACAAAAAATAGAATATGACCTACAAAAGGGTGACTACAGTAAAAAATAATTTAATTGTACCTTTTAAAGCAATAAAGGAGTATAACTGGATTGTTTGAAACACAAAAAATAAATGCTTGAGGTAATGAATACTGTATCTACTCTGATGTGATTATGCATTTTATGCCTGTATCAAAATCTCATTACCCAAAAATATATACACCTACTATATGCCCACAAAAATTAAACATTTTTTAAGAAATTTTCTTTAAAAATTTTTTGACAAATTAGTGAACAAATGTGTAAAAGAACAAAAAAATTTGAGTGGTGAAAACAACTGTAACCTGTCCATGTATTACATTTTCAGTTTGTCAGACTACTTCTACAAGATTAATGAGGCATAAGGATATTTTCTCCAAACAAAAGAGGAAAATTATTGTAAGATAAATCAAATTTTCCCTTGACATGGAGTTGAACTTAAAAGCAAGGTACTAAACATGTTAATTTTGACAATAATCAATTTCGATTGTGATACTGTCTATTGTTAGTTATAACACATCCATAGCTATCCTATTTAAGAAAATGAAATGTTACTACTTTTTAATCTGCAATGCCTTAAAAAATGAATTGAGAGTTACTACAATAGTAGTACTCTGTTAGATCAAATGCACCTTAAATAGACCAACATCATGGGGGATGGGGGAAAGATTAATTCCTGCATTAAGCTTTTTCTTCTGGACACCTGACTAAAAACACCAGATATCCTTTTGTTGGTTTAACAAAAGCTGAAAGTTCATCTTTCAGTTCTTTAAGAGAAAAATGACATCTTTCCTGTGTATTAATTAAAAAAAAAAAAAATAGGCTGGGTACAGTAGCCTACACCTTTAATCCCAACACTTTGGAAGGCCAAGGTGGGAGGATTGCTTGAGCCCAAGAGTTTGAGACCAGCATGGGCAACCAGATTGTCTCAAAATAAAAAAATAAAAAAAAATTAGCCAGGGGTGGTGGCTCATGCCTGTAATCCCAGCACCTTGGGAGGCAGGTGGATCACCTGAGGTCAGTAGTTCAAGACCAGCCTGCCCAACATGGTGAAAAACCCTGTTTCTACTAAAAGTACAAAAATTAGCCAGGTGTGATGGTAGGTACCTATAATCCCATCTACTCAGGAGGCTGAGGCAGGAGAATCGCTTGAACCCGGGAGGCGGAGGTTGCAGTGAGCCGAGATCACGCCACTGCACTCCAGCCTGGGCAACAAGAGCAAAACGCCATCTCAAAAAAAATAAGTCAGCAGGGCATGATGATGTGTGTCTGTATCCCACTCAGGAGGCTGAGGTGGGAGGATCACTTGAGCCCAGGAGGTAGACACTGCATTGAGCCGTGATCACACCACCACACTCCAGCCTGGGTGACAAAGCAAGACTATCTTACAAACATGTAAGGTAGACAGTTTATTTTATAAGTACAATATTAATAAAATGGTGATTTTTAACTAAAGGATTATGAATGAAGATTTTACTAGGTACAAAGAGCCACACACCCTAACTCACTGTCATTTCAGGCAAGTGTAAATAATCTGTAGATTTATATAGTACATATTTTGAGGACAGAAATGACTCAAGATAATTACAAGGGGGGTAGGGGGCAGATATGTCTGGAGTCCATCATACCATGCATCATTTATAGAATAGTTAATTGTAAAATGTTCTTTTATATATTATTTCTCATAACAGATAAGACCCTCTGTTAAAAATGTTTAACCTGGCCGGGTGTGGCGGCTCATGCCTGTAATCCCAGTACTTTGGGAGGCTGAAGTGGGTGGATCACAAGATCAAGAGATTAAGGCCATCCTGGCTAACATGGTGAAACCCCATCTCTACTAAAAATACAAAAAATTAGCCAGGCATGCTGGCACGTGACTGTAGTCCGAGCTACTCGGAAGGCTAAGGCAGGAGAATTGCTTGAACCTGGGAGGCAGAGGTTGCAGTGAGCAGAAACCACACCACTGTACTCCAGCCTGAACAGAGTGAGACTTCATCTCAAAGAAAAGTTTAACCTTTGAGTGGCAACCTCTTTGTAAATCTGACTAAACAATGAATCCACTCCTTAGAAATACAAACATACATAAATTTTATGTAACTTCAGAGAGTTCACACTCTTTAAGAATGTCCAAAGGATATGAGCTCCTGCTTGCAAGCTGTAAGTATGTGTTTATAATGGAGGAAAACAAATCCACTTCATACATTTTGAGGATGAAGTAAAAGTACATATAGTAGCATACATTATAGAAAGCATAAAAACATATAACTTACCTTTTTTACTAAGATCAATAGCAGCTTCTAAAAGTACTTCTAATTCCCCTTTCGGCAAAACTGGAACTACCCATCGAGGCCTAAAAGTTTTATAATATAAAAAGATGCTTAATAGTTGTACACTAAGAGAGGCACTATAAGTGAGCTACTAATTATCTTGCTATAAAAATCTTTAATAGTAAAATAACATTAAAATATTAAGACAAGGTTGGCAGAATATCTGCTTCGTGGGACGAAGCACCATCTGCTGTCTCTACAAATTTTTAAAGATATGTCAAAAGATAAAGCAATAAAAGAGATAAGAAAACTAAATTATCGTGATAACTTAGGGTATAAAACTATAACAACAATCAAATATTAACTAAGAAGGATATTTTTGTTAAAACTGACAGGGAAGTGCTCTTTAGGATTCAGATCAAAGGAGACACTATGATAAACCTCTTCTTTGCCCCTCATCCCCACTTTTGTTTTTTTGTTTTAAGAGACAGGGTTGGCTGGGCACAGTGGCCTGCGCCTATAATCCCAGCACTTTAGGAAGCCAACGCGGGCAGACTGCCTGAGCTCAGGAGTTTGAGACCAGTCTGGGCAACACAGTAAATCCCGTCTCTACTAAAATACAAAAAATTAGATGGGTGTAGTGGTGTATGCCTGTAGTCTCAGCTACTCAGGAGGCTGTGGCAGGAGAATTGCTTGAACCTGGGAGGCGGAAGTTGCAATGAGTCAAGATTGTACCACTGCACTTCAGCCTGGGTGACAGAGCAAGAAGACTCTGTCTCAACAAAAAAAAAAGAAAGAAGAAAAGAAAAAGAAAAGAAAAGAGAGGAGAGACAGGGTCTTCTCATGTTGCTCAATCTGGTCTCAAACTCCTGGCCTCAAGTGATCCTCCAGCCTCAGTCTCCCAAAGTGCTGAAATTACAAGTGTGAGGCCAGCAGTTGTCTTGAACTTCCTCACAAAGAAGAAAATAAATAGGAGGCAATGGGCTGATTTCTGCCTCTGTTCATTATAATGCATGAAGTTTTTCTGAAGGGTAAGTAAACAGTGGGTCTCCAAGTTTCCATGCCTCACAGACATCCTCCACCCTCAAACAAGGATGCAGGATACAACCAGGTGGTGCTTTCTCCAGTCTCGGTGGCAGCTCAACCTACCTATGAATCCATCCTTTTCCTAACCCTTTGCCCTCATCACCACCCAATACACACTCACTGTTCCCCAGAAGAGTGACCCTTCTTCCATCCATCCCTTTATCTGTGTACTAAGAGTAGGCAAAGTCACTAAATACCCACAGGGCATTTTGATTAAAAATACTCCATTACCAGATAATTTTTTTTTTTTTTTGAGGCAGAGTCTCACTCTGTCACCCAGGATGGAGTGCAGTGGCATGATCTCAGCTCACTGCTACCTCCGCCTCCCGGATTCAAGCAATTCTCCTGCCTCAGCCTCCCAAGCAGCTAGGAATATAGGCGTGCACCACCACGCCCAGCTAATTTTTGTATTTTTAGTAGAAATGGGGTTTCACCATATTGGCCAGGCTGGTAACAAACTCCTGACCTTGTGATCCACCCGCCTCGGCCTCCCAAAGTGCTAGGATTACAGGTGTGGGCCACGGCACCCAGCCCAGATAATCTAGTAGAAACAAATGTATACTATACCTTTTGTCACTGTTCATATTTACATTAAAAAACATCATTTGTGGCTAGGTGTGGTGGCTTACACCTGTAATACCAGCATTTCAGGAGGCCAAGGCGGGTGGATCGCTTGAGTCCAGCAGTTCGAAACCAGCCTGGCCAACATGGCATAACCCTATCTCTACTAAAAATACAAAACCCAGCCAGGTGTTATGGTGCACATCTGTAATTCCAGCTACTTCGGAGGCTGAGGCACAAGAATCACTTCCATCACATAGGTAGAAGTTGCAGTGAGCTAAAATCATACACTGCACTCC